CACATTGTTAATATTATCTTGAAATGCTTCCGATTTACATTCATTTTATACGTACTTTCCACTTCGATTGATGTTATAATCCAATGTTGTAGGTGTTATCGGAACACCGAGCGAAATGTAAATGTTCAAGTAAATAGAAAGCCACATGAATAGAGAGGACCAGGTAGGGCTTGCAATTAATGCACTGGGTAGTGATATATTTTCATATACCATTGATCTGTAATTCGGTAGATGCCACTTTTCCATGAAAAGGAAACACATACAAAACTAGGTCGATTTGATGTATGTTATTGTCCTAGAATTGAAGTAGAAGTTAAACAAATATAATAATTTCCAGAGCTGTCTATTTATGTAAAGCTAATGCCATTATTTGCATCAACATTTTTTGTAGGAATGGAAAGAGAGGGTTGCCATAAGGTCCCAAGCATATTTTTCTAGTACATGCGTTTGTATGTAAAAAGTTTGTTCAAACAAGTGCTGATAAATTGGATAATGAAATAATACAAGTCTATTATTATTATTATTATTATTATTATTATTATTATTTACCAATCCATTCTGTTTTTCGTTTGTGAACCATTTTTCGGGTTACACATTTACGTGAGTGTTATTCTTGACCTGAGGAATGTGTCAAGTGGCCACCATTAGTTGGAATTCTCAAGGGGTAGCCAGCAATATTCAGATCAATACTGTGATTCTGTGAACTCGTGTGTGCACTCGCGTCTAAAGACTCTTGAATTGAATGCTTATGATGAATAAGGAGTTGTTTTCCGAATGGTCTCTTGTTTAAGGGAAGCAACCCTTCGCGCAATGAAGACTTCTATAAAACAAAGTTTTTTTTTGTTTCATTGGTCGAGGATCCAGTTGAAAATTCATCACAAGTTGTTCTTGATCAATAACTTAACTTTTATCCAATTGATTTTTGATTGAACGTTCAAATAAACAATTTGAAAGTAATACCACGACTCTTAGATAAATTTGTGTGTTATCTCAATTTCTTAACGCAACCATACACTAAGCTAAGTCACAACACCAGTTCCCCAAGTTTCATATACTCTGTATGATTTTGTTTGGGGTTCATAGGGTTAAGATGTACTCCCTTAAGTTTAAATTGCATGTTTGGATTTATGATGTTTGACAAAAAATAAAAATTACAAGAGTATATGAAAAACTACATATAAAATTACAAAAAATAAAAATTACTTCCTCCGTCCCACTATATTTGTCCACTTTCATTTTTGCACACCATCCAATACACTTCTTTAAAGGTAAAATAGAACATTAAACATATAATTTTTTAATATCTTTAATATATAATTATTAGATATACAATTCTGTTTAGTTTGTTCTAGTGCGTACTGATATAAATCCGAATGTGTAACTCTCTTAAACTACTCTCAAAGTGCTTAGATGAACAGTTCCAAAAGTCAAAAGTGGACGAATATAGCGGGACGGAGGGAGTACATATTTAAAAACTATATCAGAAGATTTACAAAAGAAATAGTGGCATGACTATATTATTTTATCAAATAACTAAAGAAATCAAGAAAGGAAAGATAATAAAGTTTGATCATGTAAATAGTAAATAGATAATTTAAATTGAGGCGAGTAAGTATGATATTGTAGAGGAAAGAAAAACAAAAAGCAAAAAAAAAAGTGACTATTTTGATTAGACTCTTGATCGCTCTACTGTCCAAGATTTGCATCATGGAATATGCAGGGCTTAAATGGTAAATTAATTTTGATTGAGCAAATTATTTTGATGGGGTTATATATCTTCTTGTTTTGAAGGCCTCAAATGGATACAAACTCTTGATTCAATAGGCTTGGAGGACGCTTGGTCCAGCGTCCACCTATGTAATATTTTAAAGGACAAAGTTATTTCTACTTCAAAAATTTGTACTCCATTTTATACACTGCAGGAATGCATCAATATTTTGTATTGGGATAATGTTAATTTTTGTTAATGCACCAACACTTTGTGTCAGTGTAAATTTTTGTTAATGCACCGACACATTGTGTCAGTATAAACCATCAAAATGTTGGTGCATACCTTTGGTGTACAAATGAGATACAATTTGTGAGGTACATGTAGCATGCTCCTATTTTAAAATGAGATTTTTTGCATCATTTACCTCGGAGTGTGAATTCTCCTGAATTTTAAAAATTACACCAATGATTCTTGTACTTTCAAAAATGTTACATCAATAATATATTTGTGTCAGATTTGACAGTGCATTAATCATATGTTCATCAATACATATTGGAGCTTGATCAATATGTCATGGATTGATGAAGGTAAGGGGTTGATCAATTGATGAAAAGCTTGATCGACTGATGTCTAAGCTTCAAGTTCGATTACCGACGGTTAAAGCTAGGGGTGTGCATTATTCGGTCCGGACCCGGACCGACCCGAAAATCGGCCAAAACCGGACCGGACCGGTCCGGACCGGTCCTTATTCGGTCCGGTCTTCGGTCCTCAATTTTTCCTTATTCGGGTTCCGGTCCGGTCCGGTCCGATCCACCGGGTTTCGGTCCGGACCGGTGGACCGGTTACATTTTATTTTTTTAAAATATTTTTTTCTATGTAGTATTATAATATTGTATTTTTTAAGGTTTTTTCTTATGCCTAAAATTAATTTAACTTTAATACTAAAAGTTTTTTAAATGTTTTGATTTTATTATTTAATATAATTTTTTAAATACATTTTCAATTCAAAATAAAATACCAATTCTAATGAGTTTTATATATTTTAAATATGAAAAGTGTGAAAAAGTAAACATTACCTTTATACTAGCGATCTAATGCATTTCAAATTTATATACCAATACTATCACTTAAATTTGTACTTTATCAATAATGAAACGATAATCCGCAAAAACAAACATTGTAAACAATCTCATGAACAAAATAGTAAAAAACGTATCCGTTTGTCAAAATAAATCGAAAACTCAAAAAAATATTACAAAAAAACAAAAATGAACAAAGAAGTAGAATATTCTCTATGTAAAATAAAAATTACGAACAAATTTTATGTAATACGGATGGAAGATATATATTTTGTTTAAAGTTTTTTTAAAAATTCAAAACAAATGTGTTTGACAATGTTTAGAGTATGTTACAATTAAAAATTAGTTGTAGTAATATTTTTATTCAATTGAATACTTTAAATTAAACAAATAAAATCNTCAAAAAAATATTACAAAAAAACAAAAATGAACAAAGAAGTAGAATATTCTCTATGTAAAATAAAAATTACGAACAAATTTTATGTAATACGGATGGAAGATATATATTTTGTTTAAAGTTTTTTTAAAAATTCAAAACAAATGTGTTTGACAATGTTTAGAGTATGTTACAATTAAAAATTAGTTGTAGTAATATTTTTATTCAATTGAATACTTTAAATTAAACAAATAAAATCAAATTTAAAAAAAAATTAAAAATAACATTAATTCGGTCTGGTCCCGGTCTGGTCCGGGTTTTACCGGTCCGGTCCCGGGCCGGTCCTTAACTTAATCGGTCCGGTCCTCGGTCCACCAAATACCCCTTATTCGGTCCCGATCCGGTCCCGGTCCGGGCCGGTCCGGTCCGGGTTTGACCCGATGAACACCCCTAGTTAAAGCAGATAATTATCTAGAGTATCAATTGATTAAAAATATAGAAGATAATATTTGAAAAATCAAATAGCAAAACTTATATGTAATACGTGAGTTTAGATGAATCCATACTTGCATCAGACAAGCGTGTCACTAATGTACTCTTGAATCTTGCATGAATGAATGAATGATGCCACATTATTAAAAGTTCAATAACCATTGTGGAACTTCTATTATTTAGAGAAAATCTGCACAGTTTTTGAAAGGTTTGAAAGTAAATTATGCAAAAAATTTGAAAATTAATATGAGTTGCTGCGTGTTTAAAGCGTGCCATTGTCAATAATTGAAGTTTTGTTGTATATCCCCAATTCCCCATTGAAAGAACTTTTTAAAACCGAAAGGAGTTAAAAAATGGAAGAAATTAGAAATATTGAAAAAAATTGGAAGGAGTTGGAATGTAACACTTCAATCCGTATATTCCGAACCAACGAGTTAGCGAATCGGCTTGCTATGAAATTGGTATCCAAACACAATCATTTACAAGTAGTTAAATAAACGTCAAACACTTCAAAAAAAATTAATTGATTTATCAGAGTTAATTTTGTAACATCCTAATTCATCCATGTCTCCCGTCCCTTTAAGACTAAAGTATTGATTTGGTAACATCACAATTTAAAACATTTAAAACAATTGTGCAAAATATTTTGATCTCAAAATTTCTTACAATTTAACATTCTTTTTCTATAAATTATACTCCGTAGTTGAAGTTAAAAAAACTTTGATGAAGTCAAATTCAAACAAATAAAAGTGGATGGAAGCAGTAAAAAAAGTGTGCAGAAAACCTCATGCATTGCGTGCATTATGTTTAGGGCACTGGAAATACCCATGAAGCCCCGGGGCTTCAAACCTTCTCTCTCTGTCACGTCAACTTTAACTTACCTCACAGTTTTAGTGGAAATGGGTTTGAAGACCCGGGGCTTCAAACGGGGGCTTCAAACCTTCATTTTTTACATTTTAAATACACATCTTCTAAAATTAAATTAATTAAATTTAAATATTTAATTACTTAAAAGAATTGAAACGAGAATAGTTCATTAAAAATTGCATTCATTATAAAAAAATACATTTATTAAATAAAAAAGTTGCATTCATTAAATAAAAAAAATTACATTAATTAAATAAAAAATTACATTCATGAAAAAATAAAAAAAACTTGAATAATAATTTTTTTAAAAAAGATGATAGATAGAGAGAAATTTGTATTTGTGTTGAATTTTAAAAAAATTAATTTAATTTATAGAGAAGAAAAGAGGAAAAAAGAAGAAAAAAAGCGCTCCAATTATAACGGGGGGCCGTGTTTAACGCCAGTCGTCAAATGGAGCATAACGTGGGTGATCCCTACGAATCTAGGGTTTTCCAATCTAGTGTTCTTTTCCGACCTCAGGTAAGTTCTTCGAATGAGTATTCAATAGCTTCTCTCTTGGTCTTTTTTATACGGAGTATCTTTTTTCAGATCTAGAGTTTTTCCCATGAAGCGTTATTAGCTTTTCAGATCTACCATTTTCGCTTTTCGGATCTACAGTTTTCACACTATGTAAGGTAAGTTTATATGGTTTCTCTAACAAATATTTTTCCTATTTTCGTATGTTGATTCTTGGTTTTTATATTTTTTATTTTCCAGATTTAAAAGAATTATATGATGAAATTTCAGATCTTGTGTTCATGTTGAATATTGAAGAACAAATTTTGGATCTTCAATGTTGCACTGTTGTTTCTGCCTCAGGAGTGTGCTAAAGCTACTGCATTCGTTTTGCTTTCTTTTTTTATTTTCAATGAAGGAGTATTTTTACAGAATTTTTGTGTGTGTAAGAATTGAAATTTTGAGTGTGTTTCCTGTGTAGTAATTTAGACAGTGTATGTGACTTGAATAATGCTTGGTTTACAAACAAAATAGTCACAAACTTCACAAACTTACTAATTGTGAACTTCAATAAATAAAATTAAATAGTCTAAAATAATTTTAAAATGAAAAGTTAAATCATAAATACTAAGTTTGTGAAGTTTGTGAGTATCTTGTTTGTGAATGTAGCATTGCTCATGTGACTAATTTGTTTGATTATTTCTGTGATTTATGTATGTTGTGCATATGAGATAGGGGTGAGGATTGTAGACTCATACATTTCATTTACTCTGTAATAAAGTGAAGGGCAATTTGGGAAGGTCAATGCTATTTTTTCCTTCTTAAATTATTGCCCAAAGTCAAAACGAGCAGTATAAAACGAGACAGAGAGAGTACTTCTTGATTGTATATATATGTAATTGTTGGGCTTAATTATTATTGTTAATTGTATTTTAGAATTGTTGGGCATAATAAAAGGAGCAATATAAAACAAACATTTTTTTAGTTTGGGCTTAATTGTAATTGCTGATTGTAGTTAATCCATATGCATATGAAAATATCATAACTCTGACTCAAAGGTTCTTGTTTTTTTTGGTATGTGGAAATGTTATATTCATTTGACCTTTTAACATGAACTTACAAAAAAACGCAACACCAACATGACATTTATTAAATTATCGAATGAAAAAAATTGTGAGAAATGTGTTGTTGGTCATGAAATATGTATTCTCGTGAGTAGATATCTTTTAAGTTCTCCAAAGATAGCATGTTGATACTCTATATCAACTTTTGGAAGGGGAAATGTCTCTTATTACTGATGACAGTGAAGCCACATAAATTATGTTATAAAGTTGAGATGTTGCATTTCTTTCACAGAGAATGTGTTATAGAAACACTGGTGATGATGAGTACATGCAAACTAAATCTGGACTGTGTGCTCGGTAGCTTTATTTTTCCTTATTCGTTTATTTGTATTGTGATATATTACTAATTTTTTTTTTTTGTGTGTTTTCGTTGACTTGTGGTTTTTGACTTTTGATTTAGGAAAAAAGGCTACTCTTATGTTTAAGACTCGGAGGGTCACCCGAGCAGAGTGAGCATGTGCTTAAGAGTCAACAACAAACTCATAGGTGTACATATAGAATTATAGATACATGCATGCATAGATACATACATATATAAATGCATACATACATGCAAATGTAATGGTCTCATCAACTAAAAAATGTTTGGCCAAGAAATTGTAGATGACTGGCTAGTCATACAACTTCAAAGGGGCAAATTAATTGATTGGAGACCTAAGGCCTTCTTGAGAAGACAGGGAGTTGATAGTGTGGTGTCGCTTGGACGCAAAAGAAGGCGTTTTCCTAAAAGACGGTCTCTTGCTGATACGATGCAGAGTCGTCTTGGTGTGGAGATAGTGCACATATGGCAATGCTCTCTCCTTCAGCTTCAATACCATGAAGAATAGTAGTCTGTAACTGATGAGAATGGCTATGACTACTCCTAAATCCCACCACTTCGAGTGCGCCACTGATAAGCCAAGAACTCCTGTGATGATTACTTCTCCTGTGAGCTTCGATTCCCCAGGGTTAATGGGATCAAATTCCAAGCCTAGCATGTCGTTCTTGTACGCTCCCTACATTTATTTTTGCAAATGCATAGAAATTGTTAGCTGTATATATACTCCCTCCATTGAAATTACATTATTGGAGGTTGATGAGAAATTGATGGTCGAATTGTTTTTGTCAGTTGCATTAAGTGGTGAGGGAAGAGGACTCGCCTGCAAAGCCCATGACATGTAATTGACATATGAAACGGGATATCTCCAAAATACCCTTGGAAGATCAGGCATTAGCCGAAAAAAACCAGCAGAAGCCATCATAAGTCCCTGCAGGTAATTGCACCATAAGAATACCCAGGAATAAGATTGTTAAAAAGATAAGGAAAGAAATGGAATGGTACAAAGAATGTATAAAATAATTTGATTACAATGAGACCAGCTCCAGTGATGAGTCCCATAGTGAAATTAGGAACAAAAGAAGCCACAACCATCATGCAGCTCTCCACAACTGCTATGGAGCTTAGAAGCACAAGGGTGGCGTATACGAAATGGAAGAAGCCCGGGTGAAACTTTGCCAGATTGTATGTGATGGCTGCTGAGCTAAATGACATTATGGCAAGGAATGGGAGAGAAGATATGAAGTTTGAGAGAATAAACAATCCAACTCCATAATGCCCATTTCTCCTCTCTTTATAAAATATCTGTCAAAAGAAATCATCAAAAAAAGTTTTAAACCTTAACTAGCTAGCAAGTTGCAAAATAGATCATCATTGCAAGAATTACACAGTTTTTTTTTTACCTTCATTTCTTCAATGAATGATGGGAAGCCACCAATGGACATGAAACTCATGAACCCAGCAATGAATCCCCCGCAAGCCCCCCTTGCAAGAATTGCACTATGGTCGGTCCCAACATTATAGAACACGGTGCCAACGCAAGTGGATACGATGATATACACAATTATTCTTAACCAATAATATCCAAAGTCTCTAGACATGTTTTTAAATGACCTTTGAGTCAATGTCACAAGCTGCATCCACCATCTTGCTTGGCTTCCTCCCAATTCCTCCATTCCACCTCCTTTCTGTTATACACACACATTTAAATTTCTAGAAGCATGAAATACATATATCTCATAAAATGGGTCATAAACTAAGACAATAAGATGAAGCTACTTAGATATGGACTTGCCATTGATGATATCTCTTGAGCCCTAGCTCTAGTGCGGCTTGCATACTTTGAATTTTTGAATTTGCGAAGCAGCCTTGCCCTGATCTCCGACGTGGGCAAATATATAGTGGAACCTGAAGATTCTCTTGGATCCTAGCATTTTTTTTTATATCGTGAGAAGCACATCATAATTAAATAAATGTTACCATATACTATATGTTCGTTTTTGAATGCACAAGAAAGAATCACATGTTAAGTCCTACTTTTATCCTCTGAGACCCTATAAGCGTTTCAGTGACAATATCGAAGTCGGAATTGATGCAACGAAGAAAATGATCAGAAGGGCTCCTTCTGCTTGGGCATGGAAATCCGGAATCCGTAAAGAACTGCAAACACCAAACCAGCTAATTAATTTATAGGTAATGATTGATTTAAGTACCTCAACACCAGATTTATCTGGTACTTAAAAACTAATGCGGATAAATTATAGTAAAACCTTTCCTGGCTCATCAAATACAAACTTAAACTTTTGATCTATTTGGTTCCTTGACAGTTATCCTAATAAGTAGTAAGTTGTACCTCAACGGCGGATCCTGCTTCTCCAAAGTAAATGGTCTCCCCAGAGGACAAGAGGCAAAGATCATCAAAGAGGGCAAAAACCTCACTGCTAGGCTGGTGAATGGAGCAGACAATAGTTTTACCACAGGACGCGGCGTTCTTGAGGACCTGCAGGGCAAAAAACGCTGCGGCACTGTCTAAGCCACTGGTGGGCTCGTCCAGGAACAACATGCGCGGCTCTGTTAGCATTTCCAAGGCGATGCTCAATCTCTTCTTCTCCCCGCCGCTAAGTCCTCTCAAGTGCCAATTTCCTATTAGGTTATCGCCGCATTCCTCAAGACCCATTTCTGTTATCACATTCTCTACAACTTCTGCTACCTCTCTTCGTGTAAGGCTGCTGGGTAACCTCAGCTGTGCCGAATACGTTATTGTTTCTCTCACGGTAAGAGTTCCCATCAACAAATCTTCTTGTGTTACGTATGCCTGCAGCCAGATTTTTAAATTTCATGCAGCCAGATTTTTTAAATAGTAAGGTAATAAATATATGAGGACGTTGCCATTGTTAGACTTACAACTGCACCATTGTTAAGCCTTGATTTTCTTCCATTAAGAAAGATATCACCAGTCAGGATAAGATTGCCAGAAAGTCTGCCTGCAAACATGACAAGGTTACTGTTGGCAGTACTCACCCAGGCACGCATAAATATTGGAAAAAAATGCATGTTTGTGTGAACAAGCTGAGTTTGGGTGGAGAGTGTAACAAGAATCATAGATTTCCTCTGTCCTACATAAGTTTCCCATTTCTTTTTTCATATATATATGTACCAAACTAATTTTTCCACTTGTTTTTTTTCCTTTGTTGAAAGGAAGCGAATATGTGAATTAAAATACATCTGTTCTTTACAAATTTTATTTGCTCATTTTTTACTTTTCAACTTCTTTTCAATATCTTTTCATCACTTTTCTTGCTCCTCATGAAATCAAAATGGAAAAGCTATTTTGGGACGGAAAGAATTTTTTTTTTGTGTTATTGACTCTAGCTATTATATTGTACATAGTTTCTCAATTTAATGACGACACATAGTGAGCCAATGCCTCTGTCTTCGCTGAAAACCAAACTCGGATGAACTTCTCCTTGAATCTTGTGAAGTGGACATCCTACCACTCGAGCCAAGTGAGAAGCTCAGATTTTTCTATTTTAAACTTAAAAGTGTGTGATACTTTAGAAACCCCTTAAATATAAATAATGGAGTGGTTCTGTCCTGGCTAAAACACATATTTAGAATACCTAATCAAAGGGCTGATGAACAAAGAAGAAAAAGAAACACAAGAAATCAATTGATGAAAAGGATGGAGATGAGTATGTATATATACAGTAGAGGTACCTGCCAAAGAATCAAGAAGAGTGGACTTGCCAGAGCCAGAAGGACCCATGATAGCCAATATTCTACCAGGTTGAGCATAACCTGTTATGGCATTAAGCAACCTTTTCGTTGGCCCGTCTCCGAAATTCGGAATCACCACAGTCAGGCCTTTCCAAGCCAAATATTCATCACTACCCATACACTTCTCCTCATCTTCTCCAATTCCATTATTGCCCTTTGACACATGAGTATTATTAATCCCAATTTCAAGGTCCAATGTATCACAGCTCTTGCCTCCATCCTCTGCTCCTTCTATCTCCATCCTATATTTTGTACTGTAGTTTTTTGTTTTGTTTAGCTTATTAATAATATAATGAAGAAAACTAGTCTACCATTCTCTATGCATTTAAGTAATGGGCATGTTCTTACAAAAGATTTCAGGGCTCCCATCTTCTTGTACTATATACGTACGTACCAAGTGAGTGAAAGTAATAATTATTGATGGAAGCAGACGGGTAGAGTTACTGTCACCACCAAACGCGCCTTTAATGCTGGTGTAAGCTCATGTATGACTTTGTGTGTATTGATCCATCATGGAATATGTTTTTGGAATATGACTTCTCGTAAGTTCTATAGGCAGCGCCCATTCTTGTCTTTCACACATTGCCATGAAAAAACAGATAACTTCGTCTCCAATAAGAACTTTTTTTTTGCATTTTGTGACGGGAAATATGGAAAAAGAATAAAGTATGAGTAAAAACATTGAAAAATATATCAAATTAGAAATCATATATTTCATCTCGAAAGAGAAGTAAAAATGCATATACATTGTCAATTATGAAATGTTCATATACAATATAACCTTACCACGATGCAAACTTCTATTTTGGAGATAAAAGCATGAAGCTCCTATTTTTGTACTTTGTCCATGTTTACTTTTATTAAGAGTGATTTCTTTTTATGATAGTGCAACATTTTGACTATTACTTCCCCTCTCTCATTAAAAAAGTTTCACTTTTAACTTGACGTACATACAAAAGTTAAAAATAAAATAAAGTTGAATAATTAAAAGTGATGTAGATAAGTGAAAAATTTGAAGAGCTACAAAATGGAAAGTAGAAGGGTATTTACGCATATAGGACTTAAACTAATCATTTTTCCTTAAATACGACTAGTCCTATCTACTTTAACGTTTGGTAATGGAAAGTTCTAAAATGCTCTTCCTTTAAGAAAAAATGACTTATTACACAATTTAAATAGAATAAGACATTATTAGAAACAATTTGAATAGTCATTAAAATAATAAGTCATTATCCAACACTTGTTACTAATGACCACATTCGTAGAGTCATTCGTATAATCAGTGATTATCCAATACTTGTTGTTAATGAGGGTATATTTGACACATCGATCATATGAAATTATGTTATAAAGAAAATAATACATGTTTGATCATTTTCAGGGAAAGATATTACTTTTTAATCCTATATGGAGCAAATTCTTCAAAGTAGAACCTTTATTTGGACTGGAGGAAAAGAAAATACGGCCTGGTTCCATGGCCACTGGAATCCAGTGGCCACGGAAGCCACTGCCCCCCTATGAAACTCCGTTCATAAAATTGATGATTCCTACTCCCCTAACCCCCCTTTATGCTTACGAGGTGCAATTGACGTAGGCGGGGTGATGAGTTTGGGTCGGGACTTGGCGGGGGGGTTTACCGGGGGGGTTCGGGGGGTAGGAATCATCAATTTTATGAACGGAGTTTCATAGGGGGGCAGTGGCTTCCGTGGCCACTGGATTCCAGTGGCCATGGAACCGGGCCGAAGAAAATAATGTAAAACATTTTTATGAGACAATGACAATAATATCTAAAGGAGTGAGGGTGGCCGAACCAAGCACCAGGGGAATATGAAAGGGTGACCAATTCCTTTGTTACTCCATAAATAAAAAGTGACTTCAATGTTACGTGTTTTTTGTCTAATTACTTTCAGGTTGAGAAATGATTGCAATTTAGACCTCAATAATTTTCTGAAAACTTAAATAATGTTTTAGACTCCGAATCCGTCTCAATAATAAATTAATTAATTTTGATAAGTCAAACTCTAAAGGTTAGAGATTTCCACATGCATTGATCGGGAAGGATCTTCAAGGAATTTTGTTTTTTTGTTGAGGAAGGCTCTGTTCCGTTCAACTTATTTTTTATGATCTGATCTAATTTTTGTAGTTTTGATCTGATCTGATTTGATTTGATTGGATCTGATCTGGTCTGATGACTGATCTGAATGGATCTGATCTGATCTGATCTGATTGGATCTGATCTGATTAATTATGATTGGGAGAAAGACCAAAGTAGGACTAAAACATTGAAAATATACCAAAATAGGACTTCCATATTTTTATTCTCGAAATAGGACTTACATCACAAAAAATGGTCATGTACATTACCAAAAAAGTATAGTAATGTGCACATGTACAGTGCCACATTACCGCAGTGCAAAGTCCTATTTTGAAAAAAAATATAAAAGTCCCATTTTGATACTTTTCTCTATGTTTTAGTCTTATTTAGGGTGATTTTCAATTATGATTTAATTTAAAATTCAAATCAATAATTTGGTTTGACTTTATAATAACTTTTGAAAATTGTAATGATAATTCATATTATAATATAATAAATATATTTTGTTTTATGATTATTTTTAATGAAATAAAATTAGTTAATTCATATATTAGGATAATCATTCATATTATAATGTAATAATATTTTTTATTTTATGATTATTTTTTTATGAAATAAGAATATTGATTTAATATTTTAATACACATTAGAATAAATAGTTAATTCATATATACATTAAAAAATAATTAAATTTAGATGATCAATATAAAGAAGAGATAGTATTTTTATTAAAATATCTCATCCTTATAAAATATCAACGTGTGCTTTGTACTACGAAACTTTTTTTATGATTAGTATAATACTATAGATATAATAGTAATTTCAGTTATACTAAAATATACTCCGTATATGAATATCAAATGTTAATTTTATTTAAGTCATGTTCAAAGTTGATCAACTCGATGTAGTAAAAGATCACAACTTTAGAAACTCAAATTACAGGTAGCAATAAAAATGTATTTTAAAAGTAGAGTTAGATTGACATTGTCAATGTATTTTAAAAATAATTTTTTCGACGTCTAATAATTAAGGATTACTTTCTCAGTTTTCTATTTAACTTGTTTCTAAAGTTTATTCTTTTTAGTTTTTAAGAATAATAATAATAATAATAATAATAATAATAATAATAATAATAATAATAATAATAATAATAATAATAGTAATAATAATAATAATAATTTTTTATTGGATCTGATTTGATTGAATCTGATATGATATGATTGGATCTAATTTAATCTGATCTAAGTAATCTGATCTGATTGGATCTGATCTGAACTAATCTAATTTTAATAATAATAAGAAAAAAAACAGAAAAAATAAGTTAGAACGGAACGGGCCGAAGTCTAGGATACTCCGCAATCCGTATAATGTATTGAACTAAAATGGATGATTTTGATCGGGAAGGGTCGCTGAAAGTGTTCCTTCTGACACTGTTCATGCAGCTCCTCGTTGTGTTTCCATCTTCCCTGTGGCTGTTTTTGATGCGATTTTTTGTGCTTTTGGATCGTCTTCAGCATGTCTATCTGATGTTGAGCTCGGTTTTGTTGAATTGGGGCTTGATTTGGCTGAATCGACGAAGAAGTCTCTCGAGTTTACTGTTCATCTCCTAAATTTTGATTCCCAATTCGTTGCCGTTCTTGCTAAATTAAAGGCCAATTTTAGGGGATGGTGAACGACCTGGAAACCCTCTGCTGATTCTGAAATTGGATTTCCATTCCAGCTGAAGAAGTCAACGATTTGAGGCAAAATTGAAGCTCTTTGTTATTGTTCCCAGTGCGACACGTACACGCATTGAGGCAAAACATGAAGGCGCCCACGTACAAGCATATCAGGGTCTGGGTTTTGGGACGGTGATGTAGATACTTGCTCACCAGCAGGGAGGCTGCGGTTCCGCAACTCGTCACCACGTACCCTAGAAACATGAGCTGCCTTTTGAGCTTCTCCGTAGCTCCCGACTCCCCGAAAACAGTGGTGTATAGTCTGGTGTGACGCTTCCAGCAGTGTTTTAGGAGAAACCCTACCACAGGGTAGAGGGCGAGAGAGAGGAAAAGGAGCAACCCAGTGGCGGTTGACGGTTGATCCACTGCCCTTCCGTCTAAGATCCCCGAGCAACAGTAGGAAGATTGCCAGGCCGCAAAAGAACATGCCCACCCCGCTCAGTGTTTTCAACATACTTTCAACTTCTTCTTGCATTGCTATTGATCGAAATTCCACCAATTAGAAAACAAACACAAAGAAGGAATAAACATGGTTAAGATCGAAAACTGACTAGATATATATGCATCACAATGAATAATGTTTGGGAGAGGTGAATCCTTAATTGAAGCCTGGCCTTTACAAATACCCATACGTAGAAGAACAAAACTGAGAGAAAACAATACAGAGGTGAATCCTTACTGTTTTTTTTTAATTTTGTAATCTCAAACATCATACATATGTGTGCATATATCCACCAGGCCGCCAGGTGAGATGCTATCCAAGTCGTCCTAGCCTGCGGTGTGGGCGCGCCACCACGACGACGACATCGATCGAGGTGGTCGTCCATTGCAACGAGCCGACGTGCCCCCCCTTTGGGTGGATGATGTTTGAGATTACCAAATTAAAAAAAGTAAGGATTCACCTCTGTTTTGTTTTCTCTCTGTTTTGTTCTTATACGTACGGGTATTTATGAAGCTCAGGCTTTGATTAAGGATTCACCTCTCCCAAACATTATTCATTGTGATGCATATATATCTAGTCAGTTTTCGATCTTAACCATGTTTATTCTTTCTTTGTGTTTGTTTTCTAATTGGTGGAATTTCGATCAATAGCAATGCAAGAAGAAGTTAAAAGTATGTTGAAAACACTGAGCGGGGTGGGCATGTTCTTTTGCGGCATGGCAATCTTCCTACTGTTGCTCGGGGATCTTAGGCGGAAGGGCAGTGGATCAACCGCCATTGGGTTGCTCCTTTTCCTCTCTCTGGCCCTCTACCCTGCGGTAGGGTTTCTCCCAAAACACTGCTGGAAGCGTCACACCAGACTATACACCACTGTTTTTGGGGAGTCGGGAGCTACGGAGAAGCTCAAAAGGTAGCTCATGTTTCTGGGGTACGTGGTGACGTGCTGCGGAACCGCAGCCTCCAGCTAGTGAGCAAGTATCTACATCACTGTCCCAAAACCCAGGCCCTGATATGCTTGTACGTGGGCGCCTTCATGTTTTGCCTCAATGCTCGTAGTGAGCAAGCATCTACATCACCGTTCCCAGTACGCTTTGATTTTTCAGGTTCTTGCTCGATTCTTCTCCACTTGTTCTTGATTATTGGTTATTTTGTAAGGGTATCTCATTGCTATTGTTGGATTTCTGAATCAATAAACTTGTGATAGATTCCTTCAATCTTGGTTACTGTTCATGTTCTTCATGCTGCGCTGGTTTCTGCCATTTTCTGACTAGCTTTGCTGTTTGTTTATGTGGATTGTTTGAGGTTTGTTTGACTTTTTGGTGAGACAATGGGGGGAAATTGCTAGAAGAACTTAGGAAAGGCAAACCAAGGTATCACCATGCTGGTTTTGGGAATCTGCCCAGGTATAACCACGCTGGTTTTGAGGTTGAGGCTGGGAACCTGCTCAGGTTTTTCTTGCTGCTACGCCTTGCCCGGTGTGTGGTTCCCCTGCCCCTTTGGGGGGGGGGGGTGGGGTGTTTTAGGGGAACTTGTTGGGTTTTGGCTATGCCTAAATGCAAACAGCAGGCTGTAGCCACTCTGCCATGCACTTTACTGGCAGGTTTTGGGCATTGTTTTTGGCTGGCCTTTGAGGCAATCTTGGCATGTCTTTGGCTTGCTTTGGCTAATGTCCATCATAGACTTTGGCTTTGAGGCACCTAGACTTGACAACAAGGTACTTCAATGCTGGTTTTGGGATGGTTGAAGTGCCCAAGGAGGTTGATGCCAACACTGTCCAGAGGTGGGCAGTTTGAGGTTTTTCTGTTCCTCTCTTGCTGGCAGCCCTTTCCAATGATTTTATTGGCTGTCCTTGTGTTTGAATCTTTGGTACCAGATCATGTTGATTCCCCGGGTGCTTTTTCCTTTGTTGATTGTGTTCCATGGACTCTTTGTGGCTTAGAAGGAACCTTTGTGCTGCCTTGGCTGAGGTTTATGCCTGCTCCTCCTGTCCCTTTGGTGGTGGGGAGTTAGGGGGACTTCTTTGGGCATGCCTAAGTTGATGGTGGGGCAGTCGGTTTTCTCCTGGCCTAGAGTCTCACTCACCTTGTTCCTAGTTCTCTTGGCCTTGTGGGGATGATCTTTGAGGAAGCAGCTGTTGATGGATGACAGTGGCATCTGGTTCCCGTGTTCTGTCCTTGGCTTGATGGATTTGGGCTTATCCTCAAGGTGGTTGTGCTTTGATGATGGTGGGACTGGTGCATTTCCATTGCCAAGGGACTTCCTTGTGCTCTCGGTACATGTGAACTTTTGGTGTTCTTCTTTTTGGCTTCGTTTGAGGAGGATGCAGTGCTGAAGGGGCTTACAAGTGCAAGGATCAGAGTGATTGCCAGAGTTTTCTCTCCTTAGGTGCGTATCCAAGGTTGTGTTCTTCATAACACCGTAGTCGTTGATTCCCTAGGGTTGCCATTGCCTTCAAATTGTGGCTCTTTCTATGCTCATGATTTTGAAGGCGGAGCAACGGACCCTGGCTTTGCTCAGAGGATACTGCTTGTGCTTACAGGTTGATGGCCACTCTAGCCACAGATCTAGTGCCAGATCCCAAAGAAGAACACGGCATCTTCTGAGGTGGGGGTGGACAGTATCTTGTACCTGAGGATAGGCCGGCCTCACCTGTTGATGGCGTCCCCGGCAACAAGGAGAAGACGGAGAGATGGAGGTCCTGCCTTTGGTTTTCTTGTTCTCTTTCATTTTTGTACGTTTTTGTTTGTTGTTGGCATGAGTTGCCTTTGATGTTATAAGGGTAGCGAATAAAAAAAGTTAATATATATGAAAATTACATAAAAAGTTCTACGTCAACCAATTTGCTTTTAAGAATTTTAGAAGAACATCACGAATCCTAAGCTAGCTACATATTAAGGTATGATGGCCTTCTTTTGACATCAAAACTTATTGTCATATTATGACAACAATAACTACGGTTTCTATCTTCGTAACTCTCCCTCCTAGACCCCCTTTCCCTGACCCCAACAACCTCCTCTCCCGAACGCCGATTGGCTACAATGTTACGGTAGCCAATCCGCGTTTTGGGAAGAAGTTGTTGGGGTGGGGGCAAGGGAAGTAAGATGGATAGGAACCATCAATTTTTTTGAACGGAGTATCGTAGTCATTGTTGTCATATTATGACAATAAAATCTTTTGTCAAAAGAAAGGTGCCGATTAAGGTATGTAATTATAGATTTATAAGATTATAAATTCAATATTTTATTATTCTTATTACCATAATGTTTATTATTGTTAAAAAAATATAGATAGACTTCATTATTACACAACGACATATTTTTTCCGAGACCGCCTATAACTCCATTCCACATTTGTAGCAAAAACAAAATGAAAACAGGCAGAAAATTGACAATTTCATTCCAACTTTGATAGCAATCAAAGTATGTGACGGAAACACATACCTTTAAGGAGGAAACCGCAAATAAACTGCTCTGGTCAGATACAGGGGCGACGCAGCGGCACAAAGGGACGGATCGAGGTCAGACTGTAGGAGGACTCTGTGGGACGCATTCTGGAATACCCATTAGAAGAGCGGCGGCGAGGAGGCTCCGGCGAGGCGGATGGACAAGCTGTGAGCTATTGCGTGAAGATGGCGAAGGGCGATGTCGAGGAAGAAACTAGGTTCTGATGCATGGGTTGGCAATACCAGATTACCAGCACAGAACAGTGTTGTTGGTCGAAATGCATTGCTACTTGTCTTCCATGGTGTTTGGTCTTACCAGCTCTTACTATTTTCAGACATGAAAAATGACTCGAAAAAAAAATTGAGTAAATTCTCTAAATAGTCTTTTATAAATGGGGGTTTTCCATATTTAGTGCACATTTATCAAATATTAAGTATATAGTTCTTATTAATTGGGTACCATTCCATGTTTAGTCCTCCGTCTATTTTTCCATTTCCGTGCCATTAGACAAGGACCAATCGTGAAATGGTACCCAATCAATAAGGACCACGAAAATAATATTTGATAATATGGACTAAATATGGAAACCCCCCTTTATAAAGAACTATTTGGAGAATTTGTTCTTTTTAAACCACTTTTAATATAAAAACTAATAGGTAGGAAAAATGTATAACTGTAGTTTATTTATAAAAAAATCAAAATTTGTACACCACAAAAAATAGTTTATAAAAAAATTTCATTTTTTAATACGAGAATCTATTCGAAACTGATAGGAATTAAAAAGATATTCAAAGTTATTATCTCTTTTTAATAACATAAGACCTTCAAATTTTTTATCTCCAAAATAAGAGTAAATGCTAATAATGTCGATATATAATATCACTATACAATGTCATTATGTCATAGTGCAAACTCGTATATTGAGAAAAAACATGAAATTCTTATTTTGAGGATCGATGTTATATTTACTCCTATTTTGGATGATTTCAAATAATTTATTAATTCCTATATCTTCCAAGATAATTCTCATATTAAACGTGGACTAAATATGGAAACCCCCCATTTATAAAGAATTATTTAAAGAATTTACTCAAAAAAATTAGATTGTATGGTTGATATTAATGTTAAAAAATATTAGTAAAAAAAATTGTTAAAAAAATTGTTAAAAAAATAATATAAAATAGTAATAATATAAAGTAAATTTTTAAAATGATACTTAATAACAACAGAGTATATGTTTTGCCAAATTAGTCTCTAAAATTAATTAATTATCGAGATGGTATTCGTTAATTGAGATTAATACTCAATTTAGTTCTCCTACTAACAAACGTCAAAATGTCGTTAAAATCTATACTATGTTTACGAAAAAAACTTTTCTAATTTGTTGCTTTCCTAAATTAGTTCATATTTGAAATAAAATTAAAACTCATTAGATATATGGAAAAATAATTTCAAATTTTACAGGATGAGAGTGTACTAAATAAATTCCTTTACATGATAGAATATAGTAAATAAAATGATCGAAATGCACTGCCAACACCAAAAAAAGATCACGAGTCACTAGATATAGACTTCGAAACGAATAATCAAACTAACTTAGTCCACGTCGTTTCACATACAAACAAGTGGCTAAAGACTAACGTGCCACTAGAAATGAATTTCTGGACAAAAATCTTGATAATGTGGTGGACCAAAATCTAATTTCATACCAGATAAAATAGGATGTGCTATGGATTACCAGAATAGGTCATAAGACAATTGGATTGAACTACTTAGCTTTAAAATATTGAATTCAATCGATTATTTTTCTATTCAATTTTTTATGTGGGACTCTAACATGTTTTTACTTTTAACTTTTTGTGTTTGTCTAAAATGATACTCCCTTCGCCCAAAAAGAATCACATGTTGTTCTTTATGAGGTTTCAATTATTTTTTTTTTCAATTCAATTTATTTAAAAATTGGTAAGGAATAAATAATTTATATTTTTAAAAACTATATTAAAAAAACTACAAAATGAGAGATCATAATCGGTAAGGATCTTTTGACCCTTGAACCCCGGGTCATTTATTACCCGGGCTTTGCGGTGCTCTGTTCGTAAAATTGATGGTTCCTACCCCCCTAAACCCTACTCCCCTATCCCTACCTGCCCACCCCACCCTAGCACCCCTCTGCCCCTATCGGGAATTCGAAGGATGAGGGCAGGGGTAGGGTTTAAGGGGAGCTAGGGCGATAGGTACCATTAATTTTATGAATGGAACATAATAGAGGCCCAGATCATAATATGACCCAAAGTTCAAGGGTCAAAAGAACTACTACCTCCGTCCCACTATCTTTGTCCACATTTGACTTTTGGAACTGTTCATCTAAGCACTTTGACTCATCAAATTCTCTCAATGTGTAAGCTTAAAAATAGTCATGTACGATCTTGTTTGATACATCTTAACATATAGATTATTAATAAATAATTTCTATAATTTTTTAATATACAAATTACAAGATAAAATGGATTAAAGAAGTGCATTGGATGGTGTGCCAAAAGGTAAGTGGACAAAGACAGTGGGACGGAGGGAGTATTTTGGATCATAATAGTATACTCCCTCCGTCCCATAATGTTTTACACATTCCGATCAACATGCAAAATCTCGTGATTCTTAAAATGATTTTATTTACAAATTGGTAAAGAAAAATTATATTTAAAAACTACATCAAAAACTCTATAAAATAAGATGTGACAAGAATATTTTATTTTATCAAATGATCAATGAAAACACGCAAACAAATACTCGGTAAGAGTTATCGAGAGACCGTAATAGTAAACGTGTAAAACTTTATGGGACGGAGGGACTATTATTTTTTCAAATAGCTAGTGAAATTGAGTAAGAAAAAGCGTAATTAAAATTTAACCATTTAAATAGTAAACAAATAAACTAAAAATCACTTTACAACAATAAGACGAAAATGGATAATTTGTATAAGAATAAACCTAGGGATACACCAAAATGGACATCTCATTTGTACAACAGACAAATACAATTTGTGATTCACAAACACTAGCTATTTGTATTTGTTTGTGTTTGTCTTGTGTACAAATGGAATACCTCATTTAAATATACCTCTACCATGCGGTCCATGCCGCTTTGTACAATTGTACCCAGGCAATGATAAATGTTGTCGTACCATATACTAACAAAAGTATGTGTAACGTGCCATGTGAGAGTGGGGCCCGTAACCTCTCCTGTCCGGCCTAAAAGAGACCAAGGAAAAGGACAGAAGGGTCCTCCAAAGTCACTTTAAATTGCATTAAAGAACCATGGCTTTACTTGGCTATTCTGCACACCTCTCTCGTTTCTACGTCCAAGGCAGTTCCCTAAACGGAATTGGAGATGCATGATGCACCCCTCACCCACCCACCATAGCCTAAAGATTTCACACTTGTTTGCCCTTTAGTCATTCTTTGGTGGGGGAGAAAATTATGGGAGATAAAATATTAAAATATGAGATGAAGAAACACAGTTTTTTCAATATAATCTTTCATGTCTGAATAAAAAAGAAAATAGTGAGAAGAGAAAAATATGTATGGGATTCATGCCAAAAATTTTGTCATCAACCACGATGAAAAAACCCTTTCTTCTTGTGTTTTCTATTTTGTGTCGATTTTCTCATCATTTTCTCATTCTTTCTCTTCATTTTTTTCTTTTCACGTTTTCTCTACTCATCCCAACAAATCATTAAGAGCTAGTGCACTATTTAACCATCCTCATCCAGCTAATCTCACCTTCGTGCACCCAATTGCATTGAACCTCAATTGCAACAATTTTTAAGAGTAAATTTAAATTAATTTCATTTAATTTTAGATAGTGTTTGGAACTAGATTTCATTTGAAACCGTAGATTTCAATTCCATGATTTAAAATTCTATAATTTCAAATTTCAAATGTTGTTTAGAAGTCATAAAATTTCAATTTTAAAATTTGTATTTTGAAGTTGCATAGACGGTAACGGAAGCGGACTGATATGTATGGAATTGTTATTTTATAAGGAGAGATTAATTTTTAATTACAACTATTAATTAAAGAAAAGTTGAACTTGAATTTGTAAAAAATGACATGGTGAGAAGTGTGAATTTGTAGTCGAGTTAGTTTTGATATAGAAGAATTTGGTCCAAATCCAAATCCAAATTTTGTATGTTCCCAAACAAATTATTTGGATCAAATCTGAATTTGAAATCCAAATTCAAGTTCTCAAACACACCATTATGTAATTTACTCAATTTTTAGTCAATTACATTTAATTTCACTATTGGAATTCATCTTTTACCTTTGCTTATATAAAACAACAACAACAACCCAGGTGAATCCCACAACAGTAGGGTCTGGGGAGGGTGTGTGTACGCAGACCTTGCCCGAACTCGGGAGTAGGGAGGCTGTTTCCAAGAGACTCCCGGCTCCACCTGCACAAAAATATGGAAGGGAACACAATATAGCACAGATAAAGCACCAACAAGTACAAGCAATAGCAAAAGATTCCAAACAAATACAACACACTACAAAACAACCTCTACAACACCAAGCTCCTATCCAGCTACTCTAATCCTAGTTTTCCAAAGGTTCCTATCTAAGGCCATATCCTCAGTCAGGTCGAGAAGTCCTAAATCCTGCCTAATCACCTCCTTCCAATTCTTCCTGGGTCTACCCCTTCCCGTACTTCCCCCGATAACCGTAATCCTCTCGCATCTCCGTACAGGGGCATCGGCATCCCGCCGTCTCACATGGCCAAACCATCTCAACCTCGCTTCTCGCAACTTATCTTCCACCGGTGCCATGCCTACCTGACGTCGAATGACTTCGTTCGTGATTCTATCCAACCTTGTCTTCCCACACATCCATCGTAACATCCGCATCTCCGCCGCATGCAGACGACGCACATGAGTCTTCTTAACTGCCCAACACTCTACCCCATATAACATAGCAGGTCTGACTACGGATCGATAGAACTTACCTTTCATTCTAGGCGAAATCTTCGGATCACACAACACCCCTGAAGCTAACCGCCATTTGGCCCAAGCCACTCCAACACGGTGTCCAACATCCCCATCTAACTCCCCATCAGCCTGGATTACCGAGCCAAGATATCGAAACCTGTCTACCTTAGGTACTAGGTGAGAGTCAATCCTGACTTCCACCTTTGGTTCTGTATCCCGGCCGCTGAAATGACATTCCATGTATTCAGTCTTGCTCCTACTTATTCTGAATCCCTTAGTCTCAAGGGCAAGGCGCCATAGTTCCAACTTATTGTTTAGTCCCTCACGCGTGTCGTCGATAAGCACAATATCATCCGCAAAAAGCATGCACCATGGGACCTCATCTTAATTTTGCTTATATAAAATTAAAGATAATAAATATTCTAAAAATTTGATATATTAAAATTACATAGTAAAATCAATTAAACTATACGAGTATCAAATTTATATCATAACTAAATATAATATTTTTCATCATTTGTAGTCCAAATTAGTACAATATGACTAAAAACTAAAAAATGGAATCTTATTTAGGGTGCATTGAGTGTAATTAGAAAAAGGAAAAATAATATGAGGTGATAAATTGATGATAGATTGATAAATATGAAAAGACCAAAAAGTACACGAATAATTAAATTTTAATTTTAAAATAACATATATCTAAAATATATCTAATCCAAATATATCCGAAACTGAAATATATCCAAATTGAAATATATTCAAAACCAAAGTCTATCTGGTTTGATTGATATTTGAATCATATGGAAATTAAATCTGAATCACAAGGAAACCGATTCGAGTAGAAGTGATTCTAACATACGTTGTATATCCAAAAAAGTTTGAATCAACGCAAAATCAGTCTAAATTCTAGAATATTACTCCCTCTATACTAGAGAATTTGTCGAGTTTGACTTTTTCAAGTCAAACTGGACAAACTTTAATCATCAATTACTTGCAATTTGTATTGCATATTAATACAATAGAATAAACATTTGAAAGTTTAAAACAAGTTAAATATATTAAAATTATTTTTATACTAATATAAATTATAGTTTTTACTTAATTAAGGCTCAAAGTTCGTCCAATTTGACTCCAAAAAGTCAAAATGGACGAATACTTTGGGACACAGGCAATATTTAGTATATATAAAACCACATTAAACTAGACTTAGAAGTAAGAATTACGAATTAAAATATTTTAATTAATTAAAATTATCTACTAATATAATACAAAATATTATTTTTTATCTATAGTTGACCGAGTCGTTGACTTGAGTTTTATCGATTCACCCGGTTAACCCTTGACCCACTAGTTCGACCGAGTCGATGTCTAATCCAGTTTTCAGAATATTGCTTAGTGATGGAATATTTATTTAAATTTTCTTTTTGAATGAAACTAGATGAGCTTTAATTATCAATTAATTTATATTACATTGCATATTAATATATAAAAATAAATAGCTGAAAATTAGATGAAGAATTTCGGGAAAAGATTTTTTTAAAGCAAATGTATATCACTAAATTTGAAATGGTATAAAGTTAGGAGAGACAAAATCCCAGTGTGTGTGTGTATATATATATATTTATTTATAATTTATTTATTTTTATATATATAAAATAATTTGGCCCTAGGTGACTTTTAGTCACCTTGACACCTATTAATGAACGTTTGGTGAAAAAATATGGCTCAATAGCACCAGTACCACTCGTGGTTTGAAAAGTAGGCACAAATACCTCTATTATTTTAAAAATTTATTTCTAAAGTTCCTGTGGTTTCGAAACGTTTTACCATATCCCCTCTGATCATTTTCCCACTTTTTTTCTGGTGAAGAAAAAGCATTAGTGCCTATTCTCCCAAATTATTAGGGATACTAGTGCTAATTTTTTATTTTTTATAACCTTTTTTCCTTTATTTGTTTCTTTTATTAATCATGTTTTTATTTTTAAAAAAATGTTTTTATAATGTTCTTAAAATTTAAAATAATTTTTTTTTGAAAAAAGTAACATATACTCCATTTGTATATCTCAAATTAAATTTTTTTTTTTTTTTTCTGAAGTTAAAAAAACCTTGTTTTGAAAACTTGAAAAATGAGGATTACATAAGAAATAAAATAAAACAAAAAATAAATATGAATATCTTTTTTGGATATCCCAATTCTAAAAACTTTTTTAGGCGTTCTGATTTTTTTTGTGTAAGATTTTTTTTCCATGTTTTAATTTTTTCGTTTCGTTTTTCCTTTTTTAATTTTTGAGTTCCTTTTTGAACATACCAAAATATTATTCTAAAAATAAAAACTGAAAAATGTTTAATTTGAGATAGATAGAGTATGTGTTACTCCGTATTTTTTTATTTTTATTTGAAACATAGAATTTTGAAATCTTTAAAACATCATAAAAATTTTAAAACAAATTTTAAAGTTTGTTTTAGGAAAAGGAAACAAAGAGTTAAAAAATGTTTAAAAAAACGAAAACAACTACTCTCTCCGTCCCATTTTATAACGCTTATTTTGACTTTAGGTCATATTTAAAGAAGGAAAAAATTAAAGTTGACTTTCCAAAATTGTCCCTCACTTTATTTTTTTAATGTGGGTAAGAGTAAGAAAGGGTGGGTAGGAGTAATTACATGGGAGGGTATTTTGGAAAGTCCACATAAATAATCATACCAAATAGGGAAACATGCATATCATTTTGGGATGGACGAAAAAGGAAAACAGGTATTATAATTTAGAACGGAGAGAGTAAATAATGAACGGAAAATAATAAATGAGCACATTTTCCCGTTCGATTTGAAAAGAGGCATCAAAATAGGGTAAAGCTATTTGTATCCCATGTTTTGTACCCCACTTTGTACCCCGTAGCTTTGCATCAACACTTTGTGTTGGTGTAAAACTAATTTTTATTAATGCACCAACACTTTGTGTCCGTGTAAATTTTTGTTAACGCACCAACACTTGTGTCGGGGTAAACCATCAAAATGTTTGTGTATAACTACGGTGTACAAATGGGGTACAATTTGTGGTGTAAGTGTAGCATAACCCATCAAAATATCCTCTTTGTTGAATAATGACTGAAAAATGATAGATGTAAATGAAGTAATAGTAAAAGTTCTTGTATTTACCAAGTAAATACAGACAAACTTTGACACCCACTGTCAAATACATCCACAATTTTAATACAAACTTCATCCATTTCAAAGCAGTCAATTCTCGAAACAAAAGAAAACAAAACAAAAGAGTGAAGGGAAGCTGCCATGGACGGCAGCAACGGCAGAAGCCCTCCCAGGGCTGGAACAACAGCACTTCATGAACAACAGCACTCCCAACATTGACATCTGATTTTCATTTTGATCATCATCATACACAGTTTCAAGATCTGAAAAATCTGAAGATAGAATTTTGCAAAAAATTGAAAAGGAAAGAAATTAAAATACGAAAAGAGGTGAATTATATGTAGATTAAAAAATTAAGACTAACCTTAGATCTGGAAGACGGTTCCCTAGATCCAAAACAAACAGAAGTTCGAAAAAATGAAGATATAAGAAAACCCTATATTCAAAAGCAACACAAGCTCGTTAAAACGGAAATAGGGGAGAACCCTAGAACTGAAATCAAACCGAAAATTTCTACGAATGATCGAATCTGAGAATAAGGGAGAAGAGAGACGAGATTAAAAAGGGATGAGATAAGGGAACGAAGAAGAAAATGGAACCACATATAAGGAACAAGCGAAAATTGAAGAGAGGGAAGTAGCAGTTTAGGAGAGGGTGGACAGAGAAGACGGAAAGAGTAATAGGCAACGAAATACAATTCACAAACTTACATTTTAAATTAAAATATCTTTTATTATCTAATTTACATTCAAAAAAGACAAACTGGATAAATAAATTGTGTTCCATAAGTCTTATTCCGTAATTTATCACTTAGATTGTGTTTCATTCAACTTATTTTGTTGCTTATTACTTATTCTTATTAAAATCAGATCAGATAGATCCAATCAGATTAAATCTAAACAAAACTATTATTATTATTATTATTATTATTATTATCATTATTACTATTTTTATTATTATTACTATTACTATTACTATTATGATTATAATTTCTATTTCTATTATTATTATTACTATTATTATCATTACTATTACTATTATTAATATGACTATAATTATTTGAGTAATTTACCTAAATAGAACTAAAACATAATGACTTTTTCAATATAGGATCATATGTTTTTATTTCTCAATGTAGGACCATTGGTCATTAACCATTAGTCATTATTCAAGTAAATGTCCATAATCACTGTACATTATTCCTCCCACTAGACATTATTAAGTACTATTTAGAGAATAAAATAGTTTAAGTCCTACATTAGAAAATGACTTATGTTTTTGTCCTATTTAATGCAAATTTCACTAATTATTATTATTACTATTGTTATTATTATAATTACTATTATTGTTATTAGTATTACTAATATTATCGTTACTATTACTAGCATTATTATTATTACTATTAGTATTATGATTATGATAATAATTATTATTACTATTATTATTATTATTACTATTGCTTTTATTATTAATAGTATAACTATTTTATTATTATAGTCATTATTATTATTATTATTTATATTATGGGAGATATTATTAGAAAGGTGACAAAAGAAATCTTTGAAGAATCTAAAAGTTCTAATGCAGGAGACAAAGAATCATGGTAGTAGGACACTAGTGTGCAAGAGAAGGTAACGGTAAAGCAAGAATGTTTCAAGGAGTGGTATTTATATCGCAATGTGGAAAGTTGGGAAAGGTATAAGACAGTTAAGACGAAGACAAAAGTGGCTGTAAGTGAAGCAAAATGAGAGCATATGGAGGGTTTTACCAATCTTTGGGTACGAAAGAAGGGGAAAGATGTATTTACAAGATTGCAAAGGGTTGAGAAAGAAAAACGCGATATTAGGATCAAGTTAAGTGCATTAAAGATAAAAATGCTGAAGTTTTCAGTTCTGATGAAAGCATAAACCACCGGTGGAAGAGCTACTTCAATGATTTGTTTAATGAGGAGCATGTGAATCTCTTATGCTCTGATCGCCTACACATGATGGAGGAGGACTATAACTTCAATTATTATAAAAGAATTCAAGAAATTGAAGTTAAAGTAGCCCTAAAACAAATGAAGAATAGTAGAGCAATGGGCCCAGGCAACATTCTCATTGAAGCTTGGAAAGGCTTAGGAGGAAAAGACATTTGGTGGCTAACTAAGCTTTTTAACGAGATTTTATTAAGATCTAAGAAAATGCGTAACGAATGGAGGAAGAGCATTTTGGTTCCTATTTACTAGAATAAGGGAGATATTTAAAGTTGTGGAAACTATAGAGGGATCAAACTTAGGAGTCATACGATGAAGTTATGAGAAAGAGTGGTTGAACGAAGGTTGAGACAAGAGACTTAGGTGTTAGAGAACCAATTTGATTTATGCTAGGAAGATTGACTACAAAGGCTATATACTTGGTGAGAAGAATGATGGAGAGGTATCAGAGCGAAAAGAAAGATCTACACATGGCTTTTATTGATTTTGAAAAGGCATATGTATGACATGGTAGCAACAGAGGTTTTGTGGAAGGTGCTAAAGAAAAAAAGAGTAAGGATCGCTTATATTCGTGTGATTAAGGATATGTACGAGGGGGCTACAACGAGCGTAAGAAGTCAAACTGGGATAACATAGGAATTCCCCATCGGTGTAGGATTACACTAAGGGTCATCGTTAACCCCATATCTTTTTACACTAGTACTGGGCGTTCTTACCTAGCATATCCAAGAATCTGTACCATGGTGCGTATTTTTTACCGATGACATCATCAGTATGAGAAAATCACGAGTGGATTTGAATGAGAAGTTGGATTCGTGGAGACAGGCTTTAGAGTTGCATCGCTTGCGTATAAGTCGCACTAAAATAGAGTATATGGAGTGCAAGTTTGGCAACAGAAGGAGAGGCAGTAACATCGAGGTGAAACATGGAGAAAATACTATACCACAAGTAAAGAGATTTAAATATCTTGGGTGTATCATTTAAGAGTGCCAAGACAATGGAGAAATAGAGGATGATGTTAATCTCATGATTCAAGTCGGTCGGTCAAAATGGCAGGGTGCTTCGAGCTTTTTATGTGACAAAAAAGTACCTTTAAATATAAAGGGAAAATTTTACCGTAGTGCTATTAGACCATCTATATTGTATGAGACAGAGTGTTGGGCAACAAAGGGTGTACATGAATAAAAGATCAGTGTGGCAGAAATGAAGATGCTTTGTTGGATGAGCGGTCATACGCGTATGGATAGAATGAGGAGTGAAGATATGAGATCTAAAGTTAGAGTGGCACCTATTGTAGGAAAATGGTAGAAACTTGTCTTTGGTTGTTTGGACATGTGGAGAGAAGACCAATACAATATACCGTGAGAAGGGTTGATCAAATGGGGAATAAACATGTGGCTGGAGAAAGATGTAGACCTAAGAGGAATTGGCAAGCATTGAGGGAGACCTTCGCGTGAAAAATCTCATAGTAGATATGACACACGATAGGGTGCAATGTCGTCATGTGATCCATGTACCTGACCCCACCTAGTAGGATAAGGCTTTGTTGTTGTTGTATTATTAATATACTTATTATTTTTATTACTATTATTATTATTATACGAGTAGTTATTATTATTATTACTATTATTATTATTACCATTACTATTATTATTATTAATATTTTTATTATTATTACTATTATTATTAACATTTCTATTATTATTACTATCATTACTATTATTATAACTATTATAATAAAAATTTTAATTTTAATTTAAATTGAATTTATATCAGATCAGATCAGATAAAAACTTCAAAGAATCATATTATATCAGATGAGGCGAACGAAACACAGCTTTAATTGTGGAACAAAAAAAACAGGGAGTAACCTAGGAGTTGGGTGAAGGAGAATGCGCATATGTGAGGACAGAGTAGTATAGAAAAGGACAACTTAGTCAAATGTAAACACGAACATTTTTTAGATTACAAAGAAATAAAAAAGAAAAAAACAGAAGAGATTCATGCACAAATATTCTCAAATGATAAACTAAAACTTACAACATTCTTCCGAGACCGAAGCTCACTCAGGGGTGAGCAAAAAAAATTAGCATCAGGACGCATGGGCCAACCTAACCTACTGAAGCAATCTACAGACCTAATTAAAAAGTTAATTATGAAGCATGGTTAGTTGTTAGCAAACACAAAATATAGCACACACTTAGTTTTTATAACATGGTAGGTAGTGAGGGAGTCAAAATAAGAAGAGAAACTACCTAAAGTATTCGTTTATATCATGATATAAGTTCCTACACTGGGAATGCTTTGATCTTCCTTGTCCCCTCCTTGCAGCCTCCTATAAAAATTAATTAGAGATGGCTAACAAATACTTTCACCTGAAGAACTATAAGGCCCCGTTTTGTACACGGAGTTCAAACTATGGAATTAGAATTGAGGACTTCAATTCTAATTCTGGTGTTTGGTAGAACAAAATTATGTAGATTTGGAATTGGTAATGCAAAAAAATGAATTACAATTAGAGAATTCAATTCTAATTCTGTCAATTTTGTGTACCAAACGGACCCCAAGAAATTCCAAACTAGTAGAGTAAAAAGAGTATGGGTGGCACACTTGTGCAATCACTTCAGAAATTGGTGTAACAACTTTTCTCAAGAAAACATCCTCTTCTTCTCCTCCATAGGCAGGCTTCATGTTTTCACCAGTCATGGGATTGACACTGCCAGCTAGCATGCCATAGACTTCAAAAGCCATCTGGATGATAAATGAAAAGAATAAATATGTATATAAATAAGAGATGAAAGGGTTTAATAAACAAAGGAAAGATAGTAGTCATACATTATTTAGAAAGTATGAATTATTATACACCACATAGTTGTTTCCCAATTAAGGCAAGGGAAGTGGTAAGAATATTTCGGAAAAGGAGTAAAGTTATCAATAACACTCGAAATACTTTATATTCCACAAGCAACTCTACTTCTAAATCATTGCTCATCTAGAGGATTGAAGACCAGCCGATCAACGGGTTATGATTTATCAAAATGTAAAAATTGTATCTTTGAACATACATGATGATATATATAGCATAAGCATTCTGGCATGAATCTCAAATTTGCAGCTTCACCCCATACAAGAAGATACAGCCCCGTGTATAAAATTTTTCGTTGTTGCACTTCCTGTTGTATGATTGGCAACCTTTACATTTGGTAAAGGAAAAACAAAACTAGTCAGCATTAAAAAGGAGTACCAAAGGACAAGATTACTTTCTAAAGCATTCACTTATTCCGTAATGCAATTTTGAACATCATTAGACATTAAGGGCATTGTTCTTTTTAACTTATTTTTGTTGAAATCATATTAGATGAGGAAATTTCAGATCAGACTAGATTAGATCAAACCAAATCAAAAATAGCTTTAACTAGAATACGATCAGTTCATATTTGACCATAACGACACTTGTGAGACCAAATCAAATACTAATAAATTCAGATCAAAACTAACAAGTTCTGATGAAGACAACATGCCTTAAGAGAGCTCAGGGAATATCTATCTTTAAAATATCAGGGAAACTTATCACTACTACGAAGTATAATTTTATGGAAATATCAGTACAAAGTATAAAAGGTGAATATATTATCCGCTTTTAGTGTTCAAAATATTTGTTAAATTACCGATTCAATGGAAGAAAATATGTCGATATTACTATATTTATATAATATTCCATTTTCAACATCTTTATATGAATGATATTAATAAAAATTCATGAGATTTTCATTGTGCTCTTGATTTTTTTGCCAATATTGACATTGAAAATATTTATAGATAATTCGGTAAAATTTAAGTATCTATACTTGCTCAATAATTTTATTTTTGGGATTGCCTAAATTCGGATGGAAATATCAGTTTACCTTGTATATCAATTTTGTATGTGCTCAAAACTGGCTATATTGAAGAAATATCATTTCATATCAGATATGTTTTCATCTTTACCTCTAAGAACATCAATGTTTTGCTGGATTTTATCAAGAAAGGAATTTTTATGCAACTGAACTTTTTTGCTAGCTACGTATTAGAACATAGTACATGACACTCATTAAAAAAATTAAGCATGTCGAAGTTTTATTCCATGTATAAAATTTACAAAGAAGTCAGAGATTTCGGGTTTAAGAAATTTACCATAGATTACTTTTGCGACCTAAGCGCTCGCACCATTTCTTGTACTTCTTGAAAAGCTTCTTCATTACATCATTTAGCGCATGTTCATCCAACTGAGAGATATGGAGACCATACCAATGAACACAGTTTAATTACATTTTCCATTAAAACAAGTTCAGAAGTATAAGGTTGGAACAAAATGATGATGCAAAATGCAATGGTGTGTAGAATGTACTTCAATTAATTATGAATTAATGATTGTATTGTAATGTCTAAAAGCTTCTTCTTCATAGAAAAATTGAAACAAACATCAAAATATATCTCAAATATAAAGGTTCGGCTTGCTTAATGGAATTCATCAAGAATGTTTGGCTGCATGATATGCATATTACAACTTTTAAGTCATAAACCTCATTATATTTGTTCCATGATAAAAAGACTAAAGTTTAAAATTTTGAGAAGTGGTATACAACTGGAATAATTGGATGTTTGTGAAACTCTGAAAGAGAAAACAAGTTCTACTGTCTATAACATACCTTAGGCTGTTGGTCAGGCTTTGGAAAGTGTCGTATGTGAACATTAGCTAACAACAATAATATCAAATGCTCTCTTTGATTTGAAACATTGTCTTTCTGCAAATTTATTGGGCCAATCACTATTAAGTTAACTCATTTCTTCAAAACCTTACCCCAGAAAATAGATATTATCCAAACTCTCAATGCATAATCTACCTATTTGTCATTCACTTGGAACATAAGTACCCCCTGAAATATTTGTGTGTTACCTGAAAACCAAATACCGACTGAAGCCAATCAAGAATGTCTTCATCTTTCTTCTTCTTGTAATCCTTGGGCCATGGAAGACCCCTGGTATTTCGAAGAGCACAAACAATAGCTTGAATCTGTACGTAGGTGTTGAATCAAAGAGAATGTCAGAAAGATAAAATGAAACATAAACATGAAAGAACTCCAATAGAGTGAAAAACCAGCCTCTGGATCTTTCATGATAGCATGGTTCACACTGTCAGGATCAAGAGGAAGCCTATCATATGGGTCTGGCTTTTCAGCAATTTTATCATGAGTTTCTAAAACCTGCATAATGGAAAATACCTGAATTAGCATGCAAGAGAAGTAAATTTTATAAATATATCTTTTACGTACAAATATAAAGTATACATACATACATACATAAATACACACACACATGTATGTATGTATGTATGTATGTATGTATGTATGTTATGTATGTATGTATTTATGTATGTATGTATGTATGTTAAAGAATATCCCACATCGGAACGTGAAGAGAAAATAAACCGGTATATAAGCTCTAGAGTTGAACTAACTAATCGATTGGATTCAATCTTTTAATGTGGTTCAACCCAAGTGTCTTATTGCCCCAATCCAATTGTCCATACCCCATCCTAAATTCTATCATGGTATCAAAGCAGGTTTTGGCCCACCTCGTTTGTCAAGGTGTCCGTCTAGACGTTCATTCCTAGCGGCCCGTTAGTCTTTAGCCCAGTTGTCCGTATGGAGGTTGTACCCAACGGCCTGTGGCCTGTTTAACACGATTGCTCGTCTGGAAGTCCATACCCAGCGGCTCGTGGTCCTTTAGGTGTTGGCGCTCAAAAAAAATCAGGAGGATAGGAGTCCATTTGCAAGTGGTCAACCGGTTAGATTCAAAATGGCCCGGTTGTCCACTTGAGGGGGAGTGTTAAAGAATATCCCACATCGGAACGTGAAGAGAAAATAAACCGGTATATAAGCTCTAGAGTTGAACTAACTAATCGATTGGATTCAATCTTTTAATGCGGTTCAGCCTAAGTGTCTTATTGCCCCAATCCAGTTATCTTTACCTCATCCTAAATTTTATCAATGTATGTTATGTATGTATGTATGTATGTTGTATATAAAGGTCAGGCCTGCCCATATTCAAGTGCATGAGGTTCTTTAGAACAGGGTCTCCAAATTTAAGGGGCCCATTTTTAATACTTCACCATTAGTTTCAGTCCAACCTGGCCCTCATCCATTTACCTCGTATTATGGTTGGCCGTCCATAATCTATCCATTAAGAAAGTCATGAACAGTTCTTCTATCTTCATTCTCAACTCTTCCGTAGTCTCTCGGGCTACCTGACTCTTGGACTACTCCTCTTTCTTAGATTATTTCTTTCTCCCTCTTTTATTTTGACTTCCTCCACACTTCATTACTCTGTGCCTTTGCTTTTTATTTATCTATTAATGGATACTTTTTTGATAGAATTATGATGCTTTTATTTTGGATTTATTTGTTTCTGAATTGAAATATTTTATTATAGATCTCTTCAGATGAATCAATACCGGTTGTAATTTATACTTCTTCGGTTTTACAAACTAATTTTGCATCTTATTTTAGGTTTTATTTAAACGAGGTCTATCTAATTTATTTTTGCACCACCATTCTTCAATTGGCTCTAGAGTTAAGATTTGATTTTCTTTATTTAAGGTCATTATTTTTTTACGGAGTACTATGGTTCTTTAATCTTAGGCGATTCATCTATTCATGTAAACTTTCTGTAATTAATGTCATTTGCAATAGAGAAAGGTTTGTTTTTAAGCTCTTGTTCTTCAATTCATATCATTAAGGCTATGCTTTTGTTATTTATTTTTGAGTAAATTTCCAAAATAGTCCATTATAATAAGATGTTTTCCCAAATAAGTCATCAATAAGTTTTAATTACCTATGTGGTCCTCTATAATTGAGATTTATCTCCAAGATAGTCCTTCGTAAATAATGTTACTCAAATTAGAATTAATTGAGGGTATATGGGTATTTTTAATTCTCTAAGTTTAGAATTAATTCTTAAAATGATCATTTATAATGAAGTGCTTTCCTAAAATGGTCCTTCTAATTAAAGATGTGTATTTAATTTAAAATTTAAAAGATTTTTTCTAAGTTTTAAATAATTCATGAATTATTTATAGTCAATGCATTTTTAATTTTTACATTTAGTTGTGCAGAAATGACTGTTTCGAGAATATACTTTAAATTAGGATGATCAAAATACCAAAATATCTCTCAATTAATCATCATTTGAGTAACATTATTTACGAAGGACTATCTTAGGAATAAATCTCAACTATAGAGGACCATGTAGGTAATTTAAACTTATTGATGACTGAATTGGAAAAACACCTTATTACAAAAGACCATTTTGGGAATTTACTCTTTATTTTTTAATTCTTATTCAATTAGTTTTCTTGAATTCCATTTTCAATTACTTTATTACGGAGTAGTATTTTACTTCTATTTTAGTTTTATTATTTTAAAAGAGTTGTTTTATTAAAAATCTTGCCGTATATATTTTCTCACATATGTTACATGAACTTAAACATGGATATCTTTGTTTACAAGGCCCAACAAAATAATTTGCCCTTCCAAAATATATTTGTCTTATGTTCGATCTATTAATTTTTTAAAAAGGTTTTTTCTTGTTTTGTTTCTTATTTTAATTATTAAAACTTTTTTAGTTTTAGAAAACTGATTAAGTAAATGAATCATTTCTTGTCTTCACATTATTTTAGGTTTATGATATTGTATTTAATGAAATAGTAAAAGTTATGGAATAATACTGTTAAAGAATATCCCACATCGGAACGTGAAGAGAAAATAAACCGGTATATAAACTTTAGAGTTGAACTAACTAATCGATTGGATTCAATTTTTTAATGCGGTTCAACCTAAGTGTCTTATTGCCCCAATCCAGTTATCTTTACCTCATCCTAAATTTTATCATGGTATCAGAGCCAGTTTTAGCCCACCTCATTTGTCAAGGTGTCCGTCTAGACGTTCATTCCTAGCGGTCCGTTTGGCCCAGTTGCCCGTGTGGAGTATGTACCCAACGGCCTGTGGCCTGTTTAACACGATTGCTCGTCTGGAAGTCCATACCCAGCGGCTCGTGGTCCTTTCAGTGTTGGCGCTCAAAAAAAGTCAAGGGAATGGTAGTTCATTTGCAAGTGGTCAACCGGTTAGATTCAAAATGGTCCGGTTGTCCACTTGAGGGGGAGTGTTAAGAGTATCCCACATCGGAAAAGTGTGAGGAAAATAATCACTATATAAGCTCTTGAGTTGAACTAACTAATCGATTGGATTCAATCTTTTAATGTGGTTCAACCCAAGTGTCTTATTGCCCAATCCAGTTGTCTCTACCCAATCCTAATTATAAATTCTATCAAATACTTTTGCGTTATTAATATTTATGCTCACCTCACGATCCACTTCCACAGATTGAGTCTGATTGACTGCTTTCAAGACCTCAAAGAGGACATTTGCAGTTTGGTAGGCTTCTGTAAGCTGTGCGCTGAAGTTTTGACGGGCGAAAGAATTACAACAGAGCACTATTAGTGTTTAAAACACTTCATAAAAAAGGCAAAAATTACCGATCAGCTTCACCAGTAGCATTTTGCAAAGCTTGGATGTACTCTTTGTAGTAATGCTGGTAAAAGCTCTGCATTTCTCGGGCATCACTTTTTTTCACCCTGCCCCTCATCATGGTTGGACCATTCTCCTGCAGTCCAATGTCAATTACTAAAAGTTCAATTCTCGAATGAAACACTGAGACGGTTAGTTATTAATATCACCCCGAACATTGCTAAGCAATGTCATGAGATGATCCGGGGGTCGTATGATGCTAGTTCGTAAAAAGTTGAGATATCCTATACAATTCAAATTGTGGAATGATGGTATAGTAATTGTCTATTTTTGAATGATTATATTAGAGAAACATAAAAATGAGACAAACTCAGCTAACCAAAATTGTATGCCAAAGTGCAGTATCAAATTGTCGTTCACCACGTCCACTTGAGTTGGGGTCCAGGCGATGAGCCTTCTCAAAGGCATAAAACCGACCTGTGAAATACGAGTATTACCTTTTTGCTTTGTTTGATTGGACGCGCTATCTTTTGTAAACAAATGAATAGCTTATTCAAAACCTTCAAATTTGATTCCGTTTAATAATAATAACATCAAAGATCCTTACATCATGTGGAAACCATTTATACTGAAAGTCCATTTCCCATTTTCTGGTTTCTATCTTTTTGGGAAATTATGTAACTCTCAGAACTCTTCGCAGCATAACTAAATTTAGTAGATTTCAAAAATCCATTTGGAATAAATGTTCAAAAACATCAACTGCTGAGTGTAAAGGCAGCTCCCCAAGAGGCCAAAACATCAAATAGCAAATTCATTAGGTCCTCACACGAAGAAAGCAATTACATATAAACCAAAAGATTGCAGGGGGAACCAAGAAACCAAAAAGATAGATCCTTACAGAGATAAGCAACTCGGGGGTTGCTGGGCTCAACTTCATTGGCAACACGAAGAATGGGGGCAATCTCGACCAGTGACGATGGGACCACCTCACTATCAAACATAGACTCTCCTATGTTTCCCACCGTCTGGCTCCTCGTTGTCTGTCGCTGCATTGATGGTTCAGAACCTCCTCCGGAAGCCATTTCTTAGCTTCGCCTCACTATGTCTTCGACTACAATTCACAAAGCCACAAAAAGTTTCTAAAACAAAATCATACTCCACAAGTCCACAACCACATACTCCCCCCTACAAAGGAGCACAGAAAATATATATCAAACGGCGCGGGCAGAGGAGAATGGGGTTCCACCTTTTAAAGCTAACTTAGCAGGAAAGAAAGGAGAGTGTGAGAATTGGGAGGCTGTAAAGTGGGAGAGAACTTGGAAGCAAAGGAAGGCAACTATGCTAAGGAACTTTTGCACAGAGAATTACATACTCATGGGTGATGTGAGTTTTGTCAAAATAACTCCTGGTTCGTTCTATTTTCAAGAAGACAACGCAGGTCCTAACATTTTGTTGTAATGACTGGGATGGACATTTCATCCAATATTTCATCCATAAATGTTAATAAATACTCTCTCGGTCCTATATCTTTCTTCCCGTTGCGCAAAACAAAGAAAAATCCCAAGTTTTTTCAATCTATTTTATTTAAATATTGGTATATAAATAAAAAATAAAACATACATATTTAAAAACTACATCAAAAGTTCAACAAAACAAGTGGTGACAAAAATATTTTATTTTATCATATAGGCCATGAACAAACACAAATAAATATAAATTCCCGTGAAGTTGGAATAGTGCTTTGGGAAGAAAGTTTTAGGACGGAGGGAGTATATTTTTTCTTATATTTTCTTTAATGTTTTATGGTAATAACTCTGAGGTCCCTCCTTTTTTTATATCTTTGTTTGTCTTTTTTTGTCACTTTTCTTTAAAATGTTTTTCTAGAATTTCTTCTATAAAATCATATGATTATTCAAAATTGATATAAGAATAAATGAAATAAAAAAATTTCTAAAAAAGAAAAAACCAAATAAAATTAAAAAATTGAAAAATAACAAAACAAATTCCCTAGAAACTCCTCAATATTCTTTTTTTAATACTTTGTATGGAATATAAAAAAAAAAGAGATCTAATTTTCATTATTGATAAGGTCCTTATTTTATTTATTTTTATATCATGCAAAATTTAAAATTTTTGAAACTATTTTCTAGAAGAAAGTTTTAAAAAAAATATTTATGAAAAAAGGAACAAAGTGAAAAAAAGAGACAAAAAAGAAAAATAAACAAAGAGACTAAAGTGAGGGACCTAAAAGTTATTATGAAATGGCAAAATAGGAAAAAATGCATTTATTAACACTTATGGATGAAGTATTGGATGAAATGTCTCATCTCAGTCATTACAACAAAATGTAAAGAATTCTGTTGTCATCTTGAAAATAAAAAGACCTGAGAGTTATTTCGACAAAACTCGCGTCATCGGTCATGTTCTTGAAACTTTCCTCTCAATCATGGGTTCTGGTGTAATCCTCAAAAATAGGATTTGTCTGTTTTTTCAAAATATTTTGGCAATAATATCCTTTGTGAGGGATTATTTTGGAAAAGTTGACCTAAAGTTAACAAAGAATAAGATTTGGATCTTTTCAAAAATTTCATGGACTGGCAAGTAAATCTTTTTTTAAGATGTGGACGCATTGATCATGTGCTTGAAACTTTCACGCTAATTTTCATGATAACAAAGAATAAGATGTGGATCTTTCCAAAAAATTTAATAGACTGACAAGTAAATCTTTTTTTTAACAAAATATCCATTTTTTTTCTTTTATGATATCAATGACTAAGTTCCAAAAAATTAGCATGAAATTTAAGGCCACAGAAGAGTTCCCCATTTTTGAATATTTTCTCGAAACTGATCAAACTTATTTATGTTTTCCTTTTTTTTTTTTGTTTATTTCTTTATTACCACATTTCTCCGAAAAGATACAGCTCCCTCCTCAATCTCATAAAAGATTCTGGCTTATTCTCTATTTTATTTTCAAGTACTCCCTTTGTCCTTGAAAATCTTTCTTTTTTTTTTCATCCGTCTCTAAAAACTTTTTTATTTCTATTAAAAATTTACTTTTATCCCTACTAATTCTTAACCTACCTATCACATCACATCTATCCATCAAATTCTATTTTTATCCATCACATCAAAGGAAATTTTTAGAAATTTAATATCAAAACACATTCCCTTTAAATTATCTAAAAATAAAAAATTCCCATATTTTTAGGAACAGAAGGAATAATATTTAACCCATGCCATGGAAAGGCTGGAACGAATTCTTTATTTTGAATTTTTATTTCTTCAACTACGATTGGGAAAGCCGCAAAAAGTTTTCAAAACAAAAACACAAAAGCATACTGCACAAGTCCACAACCACATACTCGCACCTACAAAGGAACACAGAAAATTATACTCCCTCCATCTTTAATTTGATTAAAAATTAGAATTTACGAGGAAAAATATTTCACTTTTTGAAATCATTTTATTTACAAATTGGTATACCAGTAAGAAATAAAAATTACATATTAAAAAACTACGTCAAAAATTCTATAAAACAAGAGATGACAAGAATATTTTATTTGATCAAATACTTAATGAAATCGCATAAACAAACAAAAGTTATTGAGAGGAGAGAAAAAAAATTGCAATCAAATTCAGGACGGAGGAAGTATCAAATGGGTAGAGGAGAATGGGGGTGCACCTTTTTAAGCTAACTTAGGCTATGTTCCGTACGTCTGATCTGATTGAATCTGATCTGAATTTTTGAAGTTCTGATCTGATCTGATTGGGTCAAATCTGATCTGATTGGGTCTAATCCGATCTGATTGGATCTGATCTGATCTGACTGGATCTAATCTGATGTGATTGGGTCTGATCTGATCTGATTGGGTCAGATCTGATCTGATTGGATCTGATCTGATCTGATTCAGTCTGATCTGATCTGATTGAATCTGATCTGATCTGATCTGATTGGATCTGATTTTATCAAATTAGATCTTGTGTAAATGAATTTAAATTTGATTTAAATTAAACTTAAAATTATTACAAAATTTAATAGTTTTAAAATATTAAAATTCATACATAATAAAAAAGTAAAATAATAAAATTAGCTAATCATTGATATATATATTTTTTTTTGAAATATTAAACACCTTTTAAATATCACTATTTTTTGAATTTTTGTGAAAACTAAATAATCGGCATTAAAAATATTAGAAACATAGATGTTTTTTTTAAAAAAAAAATACATTATATATGCATATTAGATAATAATATATTTCATTTTACAAATTAAATATCATATAAAATCTTAAACACTAATATACCTTTTAGCTCTATCAATTTTTTCATAAACTCACCCTTGTATATATTATACCATCTTAAAGTTTAAAAGTAATTATTTTTAAGTATAACATACTTATGGTTTTGAAAACTAAGTTTTGTATAATTATTTTATAAACAAATATTTTAAAACAACTCTTTTTAAGTATGAAAAATAAGACTTTTTAAGATTTAACATTACTTCCATTAATCATTCCTACAAGCTGAGTAATTATTAACAATAATGGTTTGTGGTTGAAATATAATAATAATAATAATAATAATATAAAAATAATAATAGTAAAAATTATAATATTATTTAAAATTTAGGCGTGTGTAGCTTTAAATAAAGTAATGTGATTTAATTAAATAATAGTAATTATTATTTAATCCTTGAAAAATATAATTATTTTTTATATTTTTCCTGATTTGATATTCTCATATTTGATGTGGTCTGATCTGATCTGATTGGATCTGGTCTGATCTGATTGGATCTGATCTGATCTGATTGGATCTGATCTGATTAGATCTGGTCTAATCTGATGAGATCTGATCTGATATGATTGAATCTGATCTGACCTGATTGGATCTGATCTGATCTGATTGGATCTGATCTGATCTGATTGGATCTGATCTGATCTGATTGGATCTGATCTGATCTGATTATGTCTGATCTGATCTGATCTGATTTTAATAAGAATAAGTAATAAGTAGAAAAAATAAGTCCTACAGAACGGACCCTAATTTTGATTTGACTTTATAATAACGTTTGAAAATTGTAATGATAATTCATATTATAATATAATCAATATTTTTTATTTAATGATTATTTTTTAATAAAATAAAATTAGTTAATACATATATTAGAATAATCATTCATATTATAATGTTATAATATTTTTTATTTTATGATTATTTTTTTTATGAAATTAGAATATTAATTTAATATTTTAAGAATTACTTCATATATACATTAGAATAAATATTTAATTTATGTATACATTAAAAAGTAATTAAATCACGTTATTTTATTTAAAACTAGACACACCTAAATCTTAATTAATATTATAATTTTAATTATTATTGCTGTTATATTATTATTATTAATTTGTTATTATTATTATTATTATTATTATTGTTGTTGTTGTTGTTGTTATTATTATTATTATTGATATTATATTTTAATTACAAACCATTATTTTTAATAATTTCTTAGCTTGTAGGGTAGAAATGATGCATGGAAGCAATGTTAAAGCTTTAAAAGTTATATTTTTCATATTTTAAAAAGAGTTATTTTTAAAATACTTGTTTATAAAATAATTATACAAAACCATAGATGTTTTATACTTTAAAAAACTTACTTTTAAACTTTAAGATGGTATAATATACATAAGGGTGAGTTAAGGACAAAATTGATAGAGGTGAAACGGATATTAGTGTTTAAAATTTTATATGATATTTAATTTGTTACATGAAATATATTATTATGTAATACTTAGATTTGAAAAAAATTAAAAAAGTTGTGATATTGAAAAGATGTTTAATATTTTAAAAAAAGTTTAAACATATCAATGATTAGCTAATTTTCTTATTTTACTTTTTTTATGTATATAAGAATTTTAATACTTTAAAACTACTTCTTCCGTTCCTTTAAATCCTTCCACTTTTGACTTTTGGCAAAAATAAGAAAAGTGTAATTTTGATTGACTTTCCAATTTTGCTCCTGATATGATGGGTAAAAGTAAGATGTGATAGTTTGTTATTAGTGAAAAAGTATGATGTAATAGGTAGAGTATGAAAAAGTAAGGCTAAAAGTGGTTTTTTAATAGAAAGTGGAAGTGTTTTAGAGAATTCAAAAAAAAAAACAAAAGATGAAGGGTTTTGTGGAACGGAGGGAGTATTAAATTTGGTTATAATTTCAATTTTAATTTAAATCA